CCATTCATGAATCAGCTTTCTTTTTTTTTTTTTTTTTTTTCCCTTTCTATATCTGCTGCTTGTTGGTAATGCTGCCCTGACTAAGGACACAGGTATGAGATACAGTGTCAGTCAGTCAGAAGGAGCTGACATGAAGTATGGACCACCTGTTCATGAAGGTTACTTGTGTACTCTGGACCTCTTCAAACCAGTCTTGGTTGTACCTGATTTTAGACAGAATTGGTGAGTCTGTCAAAATCCAGTTCATGATGGGCAGTTCTGGTTGCAGTCATTAATGTACCATTGATAAATGCTACAACTTTAGCATTACCCAGGAGCTGATTATTTGGGGTTTTTTTTTTGTGTGTGTATTTTTTTAATGGTATACAGCTCTCTATTGCAGGTGGAAAATAGCCTATTGAATGTCTCTCCATGCCAATTAAAACTTGTTAAAAGGTAAATCAACAACCATAGTATGATAAAGGTATGATGACCAGGCAAACTATAATGCTAACAGAAATGCAAGTGTGAGAAAAGCCTAAAATGAGTGATAAAAGATGAGTGCTAATTAATAAGGATGGATCTCAAAATAATTACGGTGAGTGAAAGATGGTCCAAGGAGAAAAAATATATACTGTATGATTCATTTATGTAAAATTCTAGAAAATACAAACCAAGCTATAGTGACAGAAAGTAGACCAGGTGTTACCTGAAGATAGTGGGGTGGTGAGGAGGGAGGAGAAATCATTACAAAGAGACAGATGAAAACACATGAAGGTGACAGAAAGAGTTATCATTTGGGCTACGGTGATGATTTCAAGGGAATATACATGTCAAAACTTGTCAAATGTGAATACATTTTAAACACGTGCAGTTTATTATGTCAGTTACATTCCAGCTATTTTTTTAAAAGTCATCAAATTGGGGCCAGAAGGTGGCGTGGTGGTTAAGGTGCTGGACTCCCATATGGCCAACTGTAGTTCAAGTTCTGGACCTGGCAGCTTGAAAATCATACCAGGCATGTGTGCATGTGTGCCCAAAATCTCAAGAGGAGAATGAAGAAAAAGGGACTGCAACATGGCCATCCTCCCTTTGGGAGGTGGTGGTGATTTCTTTCTTTCTCGCTCTCTGGTGAGCATACACACTCAATAGCAAAAAAAAAAAAAAAAAAAAAAGTCATTGAATTGTACATATTAGATACAGTAGTTCCCCCCATATCCATAGGGGATATGTTCTAGGACCCTCATGTATGCCTGAAACCACAGACAGTACTAAATTTTATATAGACTTTGTGTCTTTTAAAAATAAATAAATAAATAAATTTTTAAAATACAGGGACTAGCAGTTGGCATAATGGCTATGTCACTGGACTCCCATGTATTCGAGCATGGTTCAAGTCCTAGACCTGGTGGTTCAAACTCATGCGGGGCGCATGTGAGTGCATGCCCAAGATCCTGAGAGGAGAATGGAGGAGAAGGGATTGCGGTGTGGCCATCCCTCCTGGGCGGTGTTTTCTCACTTTCTGTCTCTCTGACTCTCTATTTTTCTGGTGTGCGCATGTGCCCTATAGCAAAAATCTCTCCAGAAAAAAAAAAAAAATAGAATTTGTTGGAGTTTTTTTTGAGAGGTTTTTGCTAT